AGGGGCTGGCCGACAGAATTGCTGCGTGTGTGAGTGCTCCTTCCACCGCAAGTGAGAGGAGGATTAAGTCTATCCTGGAGCGCGATGGTCTGGTCGGATCATTATTGTGCTTTATGCAAGTGAACTGTCGTTCGGTGGGGAAAAAACGTCTAAAGGAGTCGAAAAGAGAGAGTGAAGAGCACAACTCCTCCAGCAATTGTTCGTCATTTTCTACCGATGCCATAGTGGAGGAGGGGATTCTCCATCGGTCTAACCACCTGTCCGGAGCGGCGTTAAAATCTCCTGCCATGATCAGCGGGATGTCCTGTTGTATGTCTGGCTGGACCTTCTCCCTAATCTTATCAAAAAAGACTTGCCATTCCTGCGTTGTGTTCGGCGCATAAAGGCATATAATGCATACCACTTCTAGTTCCAGCATTCCCAATATTGACACCCACCTGCCTTCCTCTTCGTCCCGTTCCCATCTAATTACCTCAAGTCTTGAGTTTGGCGGAATCCATATCGCCACTCCGGCCCGCCCAGGACCAGGTGAGAACGCCTGAACGGACTGGTGAGGCCAGACCAGTTTGTGGGCCCTCCGGTGTGCCGGTGTGTCCATCAGATGCGTCTCTTGCACGCAGATGACGTCTGGCCACTCCCGTCCTCCCACTCCGCGCAACAGGTCCCACAAGGCCTGTGTTTTTTCTGGGTTTGGGGAGGCGAGGCCATTGGCGTTGTTGGAGCGCAAATCTAGGTCCACTGTTTGCAACGTGCGCTTCCATGCTCTGTTTTTTCCGTAAAGAGTGCCTACCCAGTCCATTGCCACCGTGCGTAAGAGGCTGGCTATGTTCTTTTAGAAGCGGCACCAGCTTTGCCGGTCCCAGGCAACCTCGTTATTGAAAATGTTTTTTAGCAGGATCCTACATAAGCAGGTAAGCAAGTCATCCCCGGACCATGCGTGGCTGGGTTTTACCTTGAGACTTTGTAGTTCAAGCAGCGCATTGTGTGAGACCCAAGTAAGGCCCGCCTCTTTCTGCTCTTCAAACAATACATAGATGTCCCAATCTGCAATCTTGTTGGGACCTCCTGAGGCTATTAGGGTGGCGGTGGCTCCGGGTTCAAAATGATTTTGAATATAGGCTTTCACTTCCCCTCGGCCAAACCCCCCGGGATCATCCTGTCGCCAGCCTTTGAGGGTTACCCCCCCAAAGCTCGGAGTGTATTCGTTGTGTTCTGCATGCGAAAGCCCCAGCTCCCATTTTCCTCCCTCTTTTCTTACTGGTAAGACCAAGGCCTTGTTACCTTTTGATAGAGGGGCGTCCTGACGACCCTTCTCTACCAGATGTCGTAGCTTAGTTCTTTTGGATGGTTCGGGGGTATCAGTCTGGTCGGTTCGCTCCAGTTCGCCCCCTATTAGCTCTTGGCTTTCTGTTTGTGGAACTTCCTCCCCTGGCCATGCTTCTGGTTCGTGTGTTTGCTGTGGCGTCTGGGCGTGCATGTCTTTCTGCGCCTCCTCCGCCCCTTGTTCTGTCTCCTGGGATGGACTCTGAAACTGGCCCTGTACAATGTGCCATATCCGACCAAGAACAATGTACCAGCTTTCGTGGCCCTCCAAGCCTTGGTCCAGTGCTAGTTTCAAGGTCGAGCTGTTGTCGAACATTTCAAAAAGGTGGACATAGGCGGAGTCCCAGAAAGACAGTGCCAAATTCGGGTGCAGCGGCTTGAGGTGGTCTATCAGCCAGTCCCCCAGCGCTCTGAGCTTTGTTTCTACGTCTCCCTGGCCTAGGGGATACTCTTGCTGTTCAGTGCCCGTGTCAGACATTTCCACATCCGGGGGGGGGTGGGGGTATCCTCTACGTCCATTGGCTGTGGTCCGAATGCCTGGCCCAGCGGGTCTGTGGCTTCGCTGTTTCCCCATTTTGGCCAAGGGAGGTGTTGCATTTCGTTTCTGCTTCCTTCTGCACCTTTTCTTTTCGGTTCTCTGCTTTGCCCTCTGTCGGCTGAATGTCCCCTTGTACCATCTTTTGTACCATCTCCCCCCCCCCTGCAAGTTCGTTCCCCTGAACCATTTCTTGTACCATCTTCCCCCCCCTTGCAAGTTCGTTCCCCTTCTGTTCCCCCTCTATTGGCCTTTCCGGCTTCTCTTTTTCCTTTTCCTCTTCCGCAACCGTCTGGGGGCTGTAGCGGTTTGCTGTCTCTTGTCGCACAGCATTCAGTTTGAGGGGTTTGAGAGGGAGGTCTCTTGTGTCTTTCCTTCCTTTTGAGTGTCCTTTTAAGCCCACTTTCTTTGATGACGGGGCTTGCTTCCACACCTCAGTTGAATCTGTGCTTACAAGAAAGTCCTGAGGGTTGGGTTCTTTTCCCCCCTCGCTCCTTGGTTCTTGCTGGATTTGTGGGGGAGGGGGGGGGGTTCGCGGGAGGTGTCCACTTGGCTTGTCCATGTGCTTTTCCACCGATTGCGGCGGGGCCCACTCCTTGGGGGGGTTTGTTTTCCAGTTGACTTCCTCCTTCCCTTCCCATTCCCATCCTCTCACTCCCCCTCCCTGTTTTGGCTCGTCTATGTATGCCCACCCTTCGTGATCGGGGTCGTAAGGAAAAACGCACTGGCTGTCGTGAGATTATCCAGTGGGATTTCGATTCCTTGTTCATCTTCTTCCGTCCCCTGTCCCCCCCTCCTGACTTTAAGTGTTGTGCCGTTGTAAGGACCCTTCAGTTTTTCAGCCCAGGAGGAGGAAGAAGATGCTGGCGCTGGTTGGGCATCGACCCTTTCCTTCATCTCCTTCAGTTCTGTTTGTTTGCTTGCTGTTGAGCCCGCCGGGCTGGTTTCTCCCTGCGCATGTTCCTTTCCCCTGTTTCCAGAGTCAGCGACAGCGGTGGTTTGTATTGGTTTTGGGATGTAGTGGCCTTTCCCTCTGTGCTGTCTCATCGCTCCTTGATACAAAATTGTTTCCCCCTTCTTTCTATTCCTGGCTGCGTTTTTGATTGGGGCCATCTGTGTTATATCTACGCCTAGAGCAAGATAGAAACTGGAGAGCCTGTCTTGCCTTGCCTAGTTGTCTTGTGTCTTCCTGGTAGGGGGGCCGCTCAGAGAGATTTCGCTCCTACCGTGCCACAGTACCCCCGCCGCAGCAAAAGGTGACTGACCTATACCACAAGGACCTATACCGCAAGGAGACTGACTGATTGCTCTACCTGTCACCGAGATTGGGGAGTGAAAAGGATTGAAAAAGAGGGCTGAAAAGGGGGAGATGACTCCAAAAGGACAAGGAGACTGACTGAAAGCTATGGGGGCCACTCAGAGAGATTTCACTCCTACCGTGCCACGATGCCCCTGACGCAGCAGAAGGTGACTGACCTACACCGCAGGGAGACTGACTGATTGCTCTACCCGTCACCGAGAAGGATCGAAAAAAATCGAAAAAAAACTTCCAAAGACAGCGGTCATTTCCGGGAAACGTGCCTCAGGAAAACAAGGGGGGGAGACCGTCAAGAAGAGAGAGGAAAGAGGGGAGATGACTCCAAAAGGACAAGGGGACTGACTGATTGCTATGCCCGTCACCGAGAGAGGAGTGAGAAGAACCAAAAACCGAAAAAAACTTCCAAAAAGCTTCCAAAAAATACAACAAGCATTCACCACGGTACAATTCCAAAAACAGACGGCAGTCAATGGAAGGGTCTGGGAGCAGGGGGAACGAACGGCGACAAGCAGAGAGAGAAAAGGGGATAAAGGGCATGCAGCAGAAGGGGGGAAAACGTCGAGAAGAGAGAGCAAGAGGACGCAGGACATGCAGCAGAGTCAGGCAGCGGTAATTTCCGGGAAACGCGCCTCACGACAAAAAAAAAAAAAAAAAAAAAAAAAAGGTCAAAGAGAGCAGCGCGATATTGTCTGATTTACCCGGGCTTTCTCACTATATCTTCAGCCGTCTTCCTCCTCGGATGGGGATCTGCCACCGAGGCCCCTGAGGAAGGCGGCTGTCTTGACTTGTAGCGTGTTCCTGGCTGTCGTTCCCCGTATTCAGTCGTGTCGGCGCCTTTTTGCCCCAATTTTCTCCTCCACTCGCCTTTCTGTCCTTAGCTTCCTTTCTGTTCTATGCCTTTCTCGCCTGCTGCCTCTCCTTTTCTTTTGTTTGGTTTCCCCCTCACCTCCTACGATCCCCTTTTTTTCCCCCTTTTTTGTGGTTGCACTTCACTTTTGTTACTTCGCGTCTCCCATCGTCCTCTGTGTTTGCGCGCCCGTGTCAATCCGTTGTCCCGCTTCGTTGCGTCGGCCGCCCGCGCTCCGGCCCACTTCGTTGCGTCGGGTGCCCTCGCTCCTCTATCCCCGACTATGGCCTTTACCATCTCATCGCGGTCGGGGCGGCTTGCTCACCTTTCTGGCTTCAGTCACCTGTCCTTGTCGTGTCCTCCTCGCTTGCCGTTGCTGACTCTCCTGTACTTGGATTTCTCCTCCCCTCCTTTTTTTGAGAGGTTGGATTTTGCTTCTTCGTGCCTCCTGGTTACCAGCTCACGTCAATTCATTCTCCCTCTTTGTTGTGCCAGCCCCTCGCGTTCCTCTGCCCTCGGCCAGCTATGGCCGCTGCCACCGCATCGTGGCAGGGGCAGAGTCAAACGCCCAAGGGGAGGTTTACACGTGGCAGTCATCGCTGACCGCCCCCGTGATTGTCTGCTCTAATTTTGGGTGAATGCAAATTATGGATTGAAGCATTTGTTGGGGCTCGTACTGATTGTTGAGGGATTCATTGAGTTGGATCAAAAAGAGTTGCAAACACGATGTGGTCCGTTCCACCAAGAGTCCATTCGATGGTGACCTAATTGACTGGAGTCTTAGGTTACAGAAACGTTTGAATTAAATCCATACCATAAGAAAGATCAAATATCCTGATGAGTTGATGGGACTTAGACAGGACAGTTTCTGGGTGGTTCTTTGCAAAATTCTCTTTCTTTCTCATAAGAGATGGCATGTGCTCTTGATACAATTGTAATGTTATAGATTTGCCTCACTCGTGGAATTGTTGCTCCAGATGTACATTTTTGTTGTCGCTTCATGGACAGCGAGGTGCAACTTCCAGTACCATGCCATGGCTTCATTTCTGCAGGGTGTTTGATCAGTTTGGCCTTGGATACTATCCGTGACACTGCAACGAGTCGAACGGGCAATCTCAGACTTAATAGCAGGATAATGTCTTTGCCTCTGCAACTGTTACACTGTTCAAGAGTGGAACCATACCAGTAGTGATGTCCACCCCACTCATGCGTCCCTTCTGCTTCATGACACGACTTGAAACCATCCAGCTGGCAGCAGCACAGCCTTCCATACGGGCATTCTCCTCAACAGTCTGACTGCTTGTGGATGCAGCCACAAAATCCGAACATTCTCTAGGCCAATTACTATGCTGGTGACTGATCCAGCTTCAAGGGTCTGTCTACATATCAGAGGTCACATGCTGGAGGAGTGAAAAGAAATTAAGTGCCCGCAGAGCCGGTTACAGTGTGGTGCATTAATGAAGGGAGAAAAGGGATTTGACTCATTTGAGCCCTTCAACCTATGGCTTTGGGGACCATTGCTCTAGCATTCCAACTGTTCTCCTCACACAACAAAGGCTGATTGGTTACTGTCCACTGGAAGTGACTGTTGGGGCTCATTACTTCAGGATTAGGTTGCTGCCACTGTGCTTTTGCGCGGATTTGCATGGGTCGCTTGCTGGGATTAGCTCAGTGTGTGGATGCGATGGTTTATTGATGTGTTCACAAGGCGTGTTGCTCTGCTGGGTTGTTGCGTGCCATAAGGCGTTAAACAGATGCTGTGGTAGAAGTAAATTATCACAGATTTTGTGCAAAATAGACCAGGCCAATGAACTCTTTTGCCTCTTGTGTGTGACAAGCAGCTAAACATATTGTCTCTGCTGCACTCAGAGGGCTCAACTGAAGGGATCTGCGTAGGAAAAATAGTGTGAGATATCCCAAAGGTTTTGTCATATGGTTCTGCCATATGGAGAAGGCGCTTTGCAGTATGTATTATATTGCCCTTTCATGGATAAGAAGCAATTAAGACGAGGATGAAGGAGGGGAAGGTGGAACGGAGAGCAGTGGAAGGCACGAGAGGAAAAAGGTGCTCCAAGAACAGGCTGCACTTTATTCTTAGGCCCATCCAATAAAACCATCGTGCAGCAGCCACACATAGACTTGGCACAGGCGCAGCAAGAGTGATGGGACAGATTGGGCAGGGGATTGTTTCACCCATTCTTGACTACCGGTAGTAGGGACTGCACACTAGGTTGAAACCCTGGGTTTGGGGCTGCTGGTGTTGTATGCAAGTTGTGTAGATTGGATTGTGAACTGGGGTTTTCTGCTGGAGGTGTGTTTGTGAACTGCAGTATCCTTTTGAGCTCATAGTGCATGTTCTGCTTTCCATTATCCCCATCTGTCCTCTTGATCATACTTTTTGACTGCCTTTCTTGGCCTCCATCCACCAATGTCCTCTAGGGAGCAATTCTGTTTACATTCCCATCTTATGAATGTGCAATCAGACTCGCTTTCATTCACACGCAATTGTTTGCATGCATGAGAGTGTGAATGAAAGCGAGTCTGATTGCATCAAACTGTTTGCATGCATGTAAAGTGTGAATGAAAGCGAGGCTGATTGCAAATGAATGACTTCAGGTGGTCTTGAAGCATCACTTTCACTGCTCAAGAAATAGAAAACAGACAAGCAAAAAAACAGGTCCGGTACCCAAGCCTGTCCTCCTCCGCCCGTACTTCCCTCTTATGCCTCCCTGCCCATACGCCCTCTCATCCCTTCCCCCAACGCAAACCCACCGAAAGGAAAAGTTTGAAGGTATGGTGCCTCAGTGAGCAGTCGATGTGCACTCCCGATCACCCGAATTGGAGGCATCTTCATGCTCAGAAGTATTTGCTTTCTGTCGAATAAAGGGGACACCAAGCACAAATTGGGTTGCTGATTGACGGTTGAGAACTAGGGCCTACTCATGCCTGGCAGTCTCTTAATACATCTTAGCTGAATTGCTGTCAGTTGATGTACTCTTAGCGCGAGGATGTCCTTAGCCTGATCCCTTCCGATGTCATTGGTGGCTGCTCATCCAACACATTAGTGGAAGGTGCTGCTTTTGGCGAGCCTCTTTTCAATCCAGCCATACTCCCAATGTTTTCTTTCTTAAATCAATCTTTGTAGGGGAAATTGCAGAAATACCGTTTTGGAGAAGAGTAGCATACCACATATACCCATACATCCTTGTATCACGACAAATACACCTGGAAATTTGCTGGAATATCATTTTCGGAAAGTTTCGACCTAGATTTACTGGGTGGTACCTTTTTTTTGTGAAAGAGGCCCCATCCGCCTAACTGAGGGAAGCTCTCCAAGGCCGATGGGTACTCTGTTGCAAAAGGAGGAGGTAACCCCGGTATATTTCTTGCCAGAGAAGGCACCTGGCGGTAAATTTTCATAGAAACTTTCTAAAAACGTATTTCGCAAGTTTGCCGGAAGATTTGTCCCAATACATGGGCGGATCGTTATATTTGCTATGACACTTCTCCGAATCCTATTTCTGCAATTTCCCCATTTTTGTATCTGCAGCCATGGTCTGAACGTGTAGATGGTACTCACTGGGCTTCAGAAGAAGCCACTGTGGGCTAGAACATATGATCATTACTGTTGAATAGCGCCAAGGTCATCTGAGGGAACAAATTAAAAGATGATCATTGACCTGAATGTTGTTCTTCTATCTTATGCATCTCTGTTTGTACATTTGGTCTCAGGTAACTCAAATAATGCATTTGTGGAAGGAGTGAGTTGAATGTGGTCATAATCTTCTCCTTTGAAACAGGTTGTAGAATTGTTGGCTTCATGTTTGTCCGGTACAGACTGTAGTAAAGGTCGTGCAAACAACTTATGGGACAATTGCCTGATAGAGTATCTTCCTGTTTTCCTGTCCACAGATTCAGCAACTTTGTGCCAGTCTTGTCTGAAGTGCAGAAGGTTGGTCTGTGCTCAATGTGCCATTGTAAAGAGAAGGTCGTTACAAAGGCTTAGACTAATGGGTGACTGATTGACCATACCAATCTAGAGCAGAAGGGGCCTTACATTTGTGCAAGATCTGTTTGAACATATTCCCCTCTAAAAAGATTAATTAAACAACAGAGCAGAACTTCTTACCATTCCCTGGGGCTATTCTCCTTTAGCAAAGGTGGGAATGGAGCTGAAGGTGGATAAGAGGACAAGATCAGTGGCCCTGGGAGTGGTCGGCAATTCGTTGTGGGCACTGACCTGCAGTGCACTCACGCTTCTTTAAACGCTAGTACATGATCTCAGCCTACTGCACCACAATAGCTGGGGGCAGCAGGCAAAAACAAAACAAAAAAAACGCTGCCAGCAGTTCAGCAAAGCTTGCCTGGTGCTTTGAACGTAATCTGTTCTTGCGGGGAAGAGAGCAAGATGCATGCCCGGGAGTGCACTCTGGGTGCAAAGATCACCAATATAAGGAAGAGATGCATTTTGACACAGCGGGGAACTCAAATCAGATAGGGCTCACTGATGATGCAGCAGAAATGACAGTGTAACTCAGATGCAAGATCACACTCCCTGGGAAGGGTCCAAACATGAAGGACAGCTCCCGCTGTGATCATACACAGATGAAGTGTGAGGAGGGAGATAGAGGAATCGCGTATGAAGTAAATGAAGAAGAACACGACCAAAATACATGTGCAGTGACCCGCTTCATATGCCTTGTTGAATGCCTAAGGGCCTTGCCAGGCCACAACCCGGCCTCAGGCTGAAGGGGCAAAAGACCCCTCCGAAGTGGTGCCAAGGCCTGAGCGCCTGACAGTTGACTTCAGTCAACTGCCTGAGGCCCAACTGTCAAAGTCAATATGGACCGAGCCCAGGCCGCCGGTCAGACACACACTTGTTTGTATGCAGGTACCAAGACAGCATTCGGACCAAGTGGAAGTCTGCATGCGATCCAGGCCCTCGGCTGTGAGTCAATCTGAGCCACCGTGAGTGGGAGACCTGAGGCAGGTCAACTCGGCACATCGCTACATAAGACCTTGTCTCAAGGGAGTCGACATTCAGTCTTGCTATGCTGCCTTGACGTTGGCTTGACGCTAGCTGGACGCTGGCTTAACGTTGGCTGGACGCTGGCATGACGCTAGCTGTACGCTGGAACTGTGGACGGCGACGCGAGACTGCTGCTTGCTCGCTGGCGCCTTTCTGCGTTGGCACCAGGACGTGACAAGGAGGGAGATCGGGATCTGTGGATGATTGAGAGGGAACAGGATACATACCTGCGGGTGATGTCGATACTGTGCGGTGCTTATTGTCTCCAACGTTTTCACGAGAGAACTGTGCCACGTTGCACTTCGATGTGATCAGGCTCTGTCAGGCTCATTACTGGACACTGTTTTGCTGACATGGAGGAGAAGGGAAGCCCGGAAAAGGAGTGGGAACTGTTGGGCTACTCTCTTTGTGGTCATTGATGGTTACTATCTCTTCCACCTTCCAATGTGTCTATTCCCCCTCCACTCTCTTCGTCTACTGGAAAAGAGACATTGTATCAAAGATGACATTCATGATTATTGAAGACACTGTTCAGAGTTGCGTTACTTCGTATGTCGACATCTGGCGAGTATCTTACAGATTGGGTTCATTACACATAGCAGCACAAAATAATAATAGTGCGAGGCCTCACAAGCTCAGCTAGTCAGAAACGGCCCTCCCCACCCTAAGGGGAGGTGTGCGTGGCAAAAACTGAAGTTGGCCCTAGGAAAAGGCCAATGTTAGGGAAGAGAAAAAAAAAGGGTCAATGTAAGTAGGAGGGAACCCTGGGTACGGTAGGCCCAGCTCACGAATTAGTCAACCGTATTTGCCGTCTGCAGTCTACATTTTGTATATGGACTAGCCTGACCTTGAGAGAGTAGGCGCACTCGAGCTAGAGGTTCCTTCCAACCGAGAACGTGGCAGCTTCCACTTTGGTTCAACTTGCGCCTTTTCTTCGATGCACCTGACGACAAATGCGGTCAGGTACATTTAAAATAAAAGTCGGAACAAGCGTACAGGGTGCACGCGAAAACTAGTACGGGCGAAGAGAGCGAGAGGGCGAGCAGCGTGCCTGCGAGCTAGAGAGAGAGAGAGAGAGAGAGAGAGAGAGAGAGAGAGAGAGAGAGAGAGAGAGAGAGAAGGCACGCTCGCTCCAATAGTTTTTCTCGCTTATTGAAGTATCTGACTGCAATTGTTGTGAGATTCCATTTATGATCGAGCTCGTTCTTGTTCGTGTTCTGCAACTGTATCCAGGGGAACAAAAGGTCAGTTAAGAGCAAGTGTGAACGAGCACACCAAGCGAGAGCGAGCGAGGAGGAGGTAGAGCGGGCTAGCGTGCGAGCGAGGAGGAGGTAGAGCGGGCTAGCGAGCGAGCGAGGAGGTAGAGCGGGCTACCGAGTGAGCGAGTGCGCACGTGCACGAGAGAGAGAGCATACTCAGACTAGCACCTTCCTATCGGAATGCAGCTGACAATAGTCACGGTGAGATAAAGTTCACAAGTTTTTACTTTTAATGTCTCTAACCACGAACGCAGACATGTGCACTTGAGATAGAGCTTGTGGGAGTGCATGCGGGGGAAAGGATGGGTGTAGCAGTCCACACACGGAGCAAAACAGTGATATAGAAAGAGAGAGAGAATGCTCGCGTTGCCGCTTTCGTTCCTTTTTTTTAATGTGTTTTGCCTAGAACGCGATCAGGTTGAGCTGTTGTGAATGCACCTGGTTTTGGCTGAGGCGCAATTACGGTCAATGCATTCAGGCTCGGTCATAAATGTGGTAAAATGCACTTAAGATAGTAGTGCTAACACACGCTAGCTCGGGTAACATAACGACACACGACATTTCCGAATGCACGGGGGATGAACAGACTCAGAGAGCAGGGACGTTGGAGCCATAGCGTACGTGAGTGGGATGGCGGCCATCAGTGGAAATAGCACACTGGATGCGGGAGGGAGCAAAGTATGTGAACGCACAGCAGGAGGCTGGAGGAGCACGTACGAAGGAAAATGAGTATGGGGAGAAACATTGGAATCTGGATAATCGCATATATATTATCACAAAAGGTGACTCCGGGCCCCGATCAAACAACTATTGACGGTACCTCGTTTGAAAAGCTTTTAAAGGAAAACGGAAGGGGGTGCGCACAACGGACAAATGTACGGGGATCGACCGACTTGGAGTGAGAACGGAGCGGACCAGCAGGCAGCGAGCGACAAGATCCAGGCTAGCTAACAGGAGTGAGAACGGAGTGGACCAGCAGGCAGGGAGCGACAAGATCCAGGCTAACTAACGAGCGTAGAGGGAAGTCCTCACGAAAGTGCATGCAGGGCCACAAGCAGGAGAAAGAGAGAAAGGGAGAGGTGGAGAGACACGTATGACTTCAAATCATTGGAACCAGCATTCACAAATTTACTTTGTTGCGTATCTGAGATATTTTTCGGCTTTCTACGGTTGCTTGTGAACATTTTGCAGTACTCCATGTGATTGAATCTTGCATGCGTTCTTTTTGTGGATTGTCTTTTAGGATCAACCCATCGGCGTGCGAGACACCTTAAGTGTGGAACAAGCTCAGGTCCTCGTCTGTGCACGTCATCGCTGATCCAGGGTACACTAT